GGCCCGGGCTGGGGATTCGAACCCGCCACCTTAGGTGTATGTGGCTGGCACCTTAGCCGCTTGAGCCACAGGCGCCGAGCCAATAATTGTTATTTTCAATAAAACTTAGGAAGAAGTATTTTAAAACGAAAATAAAGAGTACAAAATAGCTCTTTTGAAATATCAGAAAACACAGCCATTAAAACCTACCAAAATGTTAAGAGAAGAAAAAGTTTATAAGACATTAAGTAGAAAAAATATTTATAGAGGGATTACAACATAAAAAACCATGAAAACACTGGGTATTATTAAGAAAGAATTTTGAGTAATTGAACACTTAGATATGAAATAGCAGTAATAATTCATAATAATTCAGTTCATAATTGAAAGAAAAGTTAATTAGTATGACACGACTACAGTATGGGAGCAACCCGGATAAGCAATGGATCAATATAAAAAGATCTAGGCATTCTAGATGACTATGAAATGCAATCAACTGTGTCAACCTATATCTGTGTCAACCTACATCAACCTATATCTGAAATATATCTGAAATAAAGGTTGATGTAACTAGGCTGCATTATTACAAATGTAATATCTGGAACAAAGGAGGCAGCCCCATAATCCTCTATGCTACTAAGTACATATCTTAAATAGTACAATTAATTTAAGTACCACATTAAAGACACCAGAGCCAACTAGAAAACCCACAGAGGACAGAGACTAAAGTTGTGTTACATAAGGAAAAAAACTGAAAGAACTGTGAATATTCAATCTGAGAAAAAGATATGGAGAAGACAAAATGGCTATTTTAAATAACTAACAGCTATCATTTGGAAGAGATATCAAAACTATCCTGTGTTGGCCAAGTGTGGTGGCTCACATCTGTAATCCCAGCACTTTAGGAGGCCAAGGAAGGAAGATCACTTGAGGCCAAGAGTTCAAGACTAGCCTCTCTCTATAAAAAATAGAAAAATTAGTTGGGCATTGTGGCGCATACCCAGCTGCTTGGGGGTTGAGACAGGAAGATGGCTTGAGCCTAGGAGTTTGAGACGACAGAGAGCTATGATTGCACCACTATACTCCAACCTCAGTGAGACCCTGTCTCAAACAAACAAAAAATATTGTGTTGCTACAAAGGGCAGAATTAAATTTTTAGGAGGAAATTAGAGTCTTTGAGTCAATCTTCTACCAGCATCAATTTTTATAAAATGGAATAGATTCTCTTTGTAGTAAATTTTCCTTCTCTGTAAATACTCAAATGCTCATCTAATAGGGTTTTAGGGGGAAAAAAAATCTTATTCTAGATACTACCCAAAGCTCTTGCCAATTCCTATGAACTTAGGATATAAAATTTTTTAAATTAAGTTTATGTGAAAGATTAGTTTAGGTTAAGCCATTAAAACTTATTATATGTATATAAACAAAAGCATACCTTGGCCCAGGTTTTGGAATTTTGCCAGCCTGAAGCTCATCAATAATATCATCAATATCCTTAGGTGTCAGATCCTCCTAGGAAAAAACAAATTACAACAGTCATGTTGAAATTATTTCATACTGCTTGAGTCTGTAAATCCCTAAAACCAGTTATTTTATTGTCTTCCTGCCTTTCAGCTCACAAGATAGTTACCAAGGTAGCAACAACTGAATAATTCCTACATATAGCATATAGCGCTAAATATAAACTGCAACAAGAGCTGTAGCTGAAGAGACAATACATAGTAGTGCTTTGAAGTGAAACACGTCTGCATTTACATCCAGCCCCACTACTTACTAGCAATCTTGTTCAAATTATTCAGCCTCCCCAAATTTGTTTATCTGCAGACCTACTTCAGTGTGTTTTTGAGGATTAAATGAGAAAATATGTAAGTTAGAACAATGCAAGGCATATGGTCAATAAATGCTAAATCCTTGAAAAATTATGGGATACAAAGAATAATTAGTAACTTGTAAGTAGACACCTAGTATCTCTCCATAATCTTATCAAAGCTCTGACTACTAACTGAAACAATTTCTATCTCTTCAGACAAATCCATCTATAGCTGCTGTATTTAGATTTCTAATGCTATTTGCAAAGTTTTGACTAATTCCTATTTAAATTCAGAGTCCAAAAATTCAGTGGAAACATGTTTTGGACAAATGGAACACCAAGCAAAACTTGGCTTCAGGATTTCAAAGCTTAGAGGAGCTCTGAAGGGACAAACCCCCAGCCAGCCCAAGAGATTCTTAACAAGAGACCGTCGAAACCATACAAAGTTAAGATCTCCAAATGCTGTATCGTTAATATAAGAGTAAACTAGAGGTGTGGCACAGGGCTCATGCCTGTAATCACAGCACTAGGAGGCTGAGGCAGCCCTGGAGTTCAGGAATTCAACACCAGCCTAAGCAAGAGCAAGTGCCTGTCTCTACTAAAAATAGAAAAGTAAGCTGGGCATGGTGGTATGTACCTATAGTCCCAGATTCTCAGGAGGCTTAAGCAGGAGACTACTGAGGAATACTTGAGCCCAGGACTTTAAGGCTGCTGTGAGCTAGGCTGAGGCCATAGCTCTTTAGCAAGGGGGACAGAGCAAGACTCTGTCTCAAAAAAAAAAAAAAAAAGAAATTAAACTATCCCTGAAAGAAAACTGCTAGCCTGGAGCTTTTGGACTAGAAGAGAAGAGGAGACATAGGGGACAGAGAGAGTGAGGGAAGGGGCTTTTCCTAGGCAAGTAGATACTTCTAGGAGCAAGAGAGGATCCCTGCCTTTTTTTCTTTTCCCCCTATACAGGGTCTCACTCTGTTACCTGGGATAGAGTGCAATGGAATCATCACAGTTCTCTGTAATGTCCAACATCCAGGCTCTGGCTGGGCCACCAGTGTACTTTGCTAATTTTTAAAAATTTTTTGTAGAAATGGGGGTCTGACTATTGCCCAGACTGGTCTCTAATCCCTGGCCTCAAGTGACCTTTCTGCCTTGCCCCCTCCCCCCCAAATGCTGGGGTTGTAAGTGTGAGCCACTGTGCCCAGCCACAGATCCCTCTTGAAGAATCTACTTCGCTCTGTCCTCAAAGAACTTCTATAAACAAATTTCTAAGAAATATGAGCTAACAAGATTACCTGAATGAGACCATGATATAACTAGGGTGGAAGTGATTTTTTAAAAAGATAACAAGACTCCACGTATCTGACTAGTAATAACATTTTTTAAAAGGTCAAAGGTCAAAGAAGAAACCAAAATGCAAAACTTAACAGAAGAGTGTTCAGTTAAAAAAAAGCAAAACTTATGAAATCCAGCTAAAATAGTACTGAGAGGTATGATACCATCTCTATAAAATTTTTAAAACAAGTGCTATTAGTCTGGCTGCATACATATATAGAAAAAAATTAAAAAGCATGTATGAGACAAATACACATTAAATTTATGATAATGGTTATCCTGGGGGATGAAAGACTTAGGATGGGGGTGCTTCACCATATATCTAGCTTATTTCTATAAATGATAACAATGATAATTATAATACCTAAATGTAACGTAAAATGTGGCAAAATGTTAAGTCTTATCTGTTAAGTCTTTATAGGTACTATGCCAAGGTTATTTTGTATACTAACATGTAAATTATTAAATTTTTCATAATTTAGAAGTTTAAAACTTTTGTTATCCTCTAGAGTTAAATTAAAGATAATTTTTTAAAAACCTGGGTATTGGCTCGGCGCCTATAGCTCACCCTGCTAAGGCGCCAGCCACGTACACCTAAGGTGAAGGGTTCGAATCCCCAGCCCGGACCCGCCAAACAACAATGATGGCTGCAACCAAAAAATAGCCGGGCGCTGTGGTGGGCGCCTGTGGTCCCAGCTACTTGGGAGGCGGAGGCGGGAGACTCGCTTGAGCCCAGGAGTTGGAGGTTGCTGTGAGCTGTAATGCCATGGCACTCTACCCAGGGGGACAGCTTGAGGCTGTTTCAAAAAAAAAAAAAAAAACCTGGGTATTTGTGCCAAAAGATTCTTCTAAATGAGCCCAATTCAGAAACCAACATCTACAGGACACAAAATCAGTATTTAAGGTATTTTAAATATGACATACAACTTAAACTTACATTAAATGAAATACTCACATAATAGTTGTCATTTATTTGAACCATGGGTGCATTTACACAGGCCCCTAGACATTCCACCTCTATAAGAGTGAAAAGTTTGTCAGGTGTAGTTTCCCCAACCTTTATTCCTAAAAACATAAATAATCTCCATTAGGACCAGGTTATATTTTAACAGAAATTCAATTTAAGAAAAAGAAAACCCATAATACAGAGATACACAGTAAATATTTAAGAGTATTACATTTCTTTAAAAAAAAGAAAAATATTCTTTATGTAATTAGAACAGGCAAGGATTGCTTTTCCTTTTTTTTTGTGATAGAGTCTCACTTTATCACCCTCAGTAGAGTGCAAAGGCATCACAGCTCACAGCAACCTCAGACTCCTGGGCTCAAGCAATTCTCTTGCCTCAGCCTCTTGAGTAGCTGGAACTACAGGCACCTGCCACAATGCCCAGCTATTTTTTTTAGAGATAGGGGGTTTCACTTTTGGGTCTTGAACTCCTGAGCTCAGGCAGTCCTCCTGCCTTGGCCTCCCAGAGTGCTGGGTTTTTTTTTTTTTTTGAGACAGTTTCATTTAGTCACCCTTGGTAGAGTGCCATGGCATTGTAGTTCACAGCAACCTCAAACTCATGGGCTCAAGTGATCTCTTGCCTCAGCCTCCTGGGTAGCTGGGACTACAGGTGCCTGCCACAATGCCCAGCTATTTTTAGAGAAAGGATCTCACTTTTGGTCAGGCTGGTCTCAAACTCCTGAGCTCAAGCAAATCTACCCATCTCAACTCCCAGACTGCTGGGATTATAGGCATGAGGCACAGCCCATGCAAGGATTTAAGCAAATGTCTTCCTTTAAAAAACAATTAAATTTCAACAAACCCATCTCTAGTGTTTGTTATTATATAGCAGTGCATCAGACTATATTTTCATTTTGATTGTGAAAATAAACTAAAATCAGTCACACTATATGATTAGCAAAAACTCGGAAAATACCTAATGTCAAAGATTATTAAGGTTGTGAAGAAAATGGGTACTCTCATATGTTTAAGGAAGGCAATTTGGAAAAAATATAATAAAGTCTAACCCACCAATTCTACTTCTTGTAAATAACCTCAGTATTTAACAAGCAAACTATGCAAAGATGTATGTACATGAAAGTAACTGCAGAGTAACTTAATTTATAATAGAAAAATGAAGCAGACATATATTATGCTATAGAAAGATAGTCAAAATAAAGTATAAAAAGCAAACATAGACACAGTATATTTATATACTGAATAATCAATATGATATAAAATCTGTAATACACCCAACTGTTATCAGAATTTATACATTACAGCTGAGGAGTGGGATTTTGAGCTGACTTCAACTTTCTGTTCGAATATTTCAATACTGCCCAACTATTTTTACAACATGCAAGTACTGTATACTTAGTAACAAAATTAAAGGATAAGTCCTTTTCTTGCATTTGACATACATAGGTATAAATGCAGCAATGGCATTTTGTACTGAAAAATCCCCATTTAACCCTAACCCTAACCTTTTAAAAGCTACTATTATATAATAACACCTATTTCAAATGCCCCTTCCTGAAGCATTCTTACTAAACTCTTATTTGTTCCATGGCTGCTTTGGAAGAATATATGCATAATAATAGTCATTTTTTACATGTCACATGCTATCACACAGTAAGTGAAACAATTTTCTAAACAACAAAAATTTTAATACTCCTAGAAGCTTTTCAAACAAACTTAATGATTTAGAAAGAAAAGATAACAGATAACTCAGCTTTGAGGCTAAGAACTAAGGTAGAACACAAAATTGGAAGACATAAAGGCGGGCACAACATTCTACTGGGGAGGTAACAGATCCAAGAAGCTGGTGGAAGTTGGAAACACCAAGAAGATAGAAATATGTCAATCTATAAAGACAATTTTACTTTTTATCAAAGTTACAATATAATGTATCCCATACCAAGCTTCTTCTGAATTGCTTCCAGTATGCTGTCAGAGTTCCGAAGCATGCAAGGGGTAGTAGTGCAGACCTGAATGTGATACTTTCCCACTGGCTTTCGATTATACATTGTATAAAAAGTTGCTACTTCGTATACTCTCATTGGAGGTACCTGTAAAACTTCTGCAACCTAAAATATTAGGACATTTTAAAATATTAATTGATTTTTTTAGATATGTTGTAAAAAGTGTAATTTCAACACTGCCTCAATTTGGTAAAAACAGTAAAGTTCTTCAAAAGTGGAAAACATTCTTGTATTTGATAATTACAAGATATAAACACTTCAATTTTTGCAGATATCTTACACTAAATCACACAGAGCACAGAAATGGAATCACAGACTTCCTCCTCCTTCTACCCCACTCCTCATTTCTGAAAAAGGATATTCTTTTTCCCTTAATCTTTTCAGTCTTTCATTATTAAGAATTTCTACTTTGATCGACTCATATTTTGTAATTTTAATAGTCTAAATAGCAAAAATGTAGTGGTCAAATCCCAATAAAGTAAACAATTGGATTTTTAAAACCCTACACAATTTTTCAAAAAAGCCTTGATATTACTTGTAAGGTATAGTACATGCAAATGATGCTGCAAAAGAAAAAAGGTTGAGAATCAAAGCTATTAACCCATATTTGTTTACATATCTACATTTAGAGATCTCTACTACATATCACACATACACTTCTCCAGAATAATCCAAAACACAACTTACATTTCATATCACAATACTCTTTCAATAGCTGGATATAATAGACAAGTACTTCCCAACCCTTTGTATCAAGGTATGAATAGAAAATACCTATTTTGATATCCTGGGGTTCAGGACTACGAGGGCCACTATCTCAGCATGCCTCTCTTAGTCAGCAATTCTATTAGGGAAAACAAGGCTTTCTAGATGTTTGCTAGGGCTGCTCCTTGTACAGTCGATCACGACTATAATCCTAGCTATAACTTTCTAGGTGGCCTAATATCATTAAGACTTCCTATCTGACACTCCTAAAATTATACATATTATACATAGTATGTCCACGTTCTAACATAAAAGGTCATTAAATGAATTCAGATGAAAAAAATGTAGAACTTTATCAAGAATTCTAAAGGAAATGTATTCTCAAAAGACATCAAATCATGGCTCAATTATGACACACAAACTAGCTGTGCTATTTAATCCAGTGATTCTAAATCAGGAATGTGTCTGAATCTGGGGAGCTCTTTACCAAAATATACCTGCTAGAGCCCTACTACTGCAGTAGTTTAACAAACCTGGACAGAGGCCCTGATTTGTCTAATTTGAAAAAATTCTCCCCTGGAATTCTCCCACACACCTCCCTATGTCTTAGTGACATACACTATATTGCCACACAAATGTAATTATGTTATTAGGATATAAATAAACTCGTAATTTGGATTACTACTGAAAGCTATTAGAAAAATAAATGAATCTTAAAATATGTATAAATAAATAGACTAACTTCATATCATTAGCCAAAATGGGTCACCCATAGCATTTTTGAAGATTGCTGGTTTCAAGGTAGCATAAATACTACATATTACATAAATTTTTATTAAAGCCTACAATCAAAGGTGTAAAATACTAAAAAGACTCATACTAGCTATACTCAGATCCTTTTTCCCTGTATTTCTAATGTTTAAATGTTATGCTAATTTTCAGGATATCTTGACACTAAATTTTACACATTTGGGATCTTTTATCTTTATTATAACTGTTTCTCTCAAACTTTTTTTTGGGGGGGAGAGACACTGTCTTACTCTGTCACCCATGTTAGAGTGCTGTGGTATCAGCAACCTCAAACTCATGAGTTCAAGTGATCCTCCTGCCTCAGCCTCCTTGAGAGAGGCCGGGATTACATGGGCCCACACCATGCCTGCCTAGTTTTTCTAGTTTTTAGTAGACAAGGGGTCTTGTTCTTGATCAGGCTGGTCTCAACCTCCTGAGGTCAGCTCCCGGAACATAGGCATGAGCCACTGCATCTGGTCCAGGCCCCTCATAAAACCTTCTTTCACCATAATACTTCTATCTTCTACAAGGATAGAAAGCTTAAAGGAACCAACAACAACAACAAAAAAAAAACAAATACAACTCAAGGAAATATATAAATGACTAAAGGGCTCCAAACTCCTAGATTCTGACACCGGAGATTATCAGGGTAATCTCTACATAAGGAAGTTATCATACACAATCTCTCCTCTTTTCCAACTAAGGCAAAAATGAACCAGTACCTTATTCATTGCAGAGATAGGCAACCACCCATGCTGCCTTTGAGCTAAATCCAGGACTGGAAGCACCGCTGCTGCTTTATGCCCTTCTGGGTAGTTTTTTACAATTGCCTCTATCCTCTGTATAAAAAAGGAAATCACTCACTTTATACATATGAAAACTACTAAATATTCTGTAACTTAATAATGATATAATGTTAACTTAGTCATACCTTATAGTTTTCTGGTGTGAAATCAAATGGAGTATCTGGGTTATTCTCAGGAGTATCTCTGTGCTATACAAAGAAAAAAGGTTTTTCAAACTTATCCAAATTCTCTCAAAGTTTGAATAACACTATATATCACTATACTATCACTTGATTGTTTAGTCTCTCCATTTTAATTACAACATGACATAGTATATCTATCCTTCCATCAAAAAGAATGACTAGACACACAAATGAGTATGATTACCAAAGTTAACAGAACTCAAAATTTTAGAAAAGTTTTAGGAAGCATTTTTTAAAGGTTAAAGGAAGTAGCTTTAGGACCACTAAAATAAATAACAAAGTATTATCTAATTTCATTAGATAAGAGGATCTTCTAATATAATTACCAAAACAATACCAATTACAAGAAGCCTTATGAAATTAAGACACAAGGCTCGGCGTCCATAGCTCTGTGGCCAGAGTGCTGGCCACAGACTCTGGGGCTGGTGGGTTCGAACCCAGCCCGGGCCTGCTAAACACCAATGACAACTACAACAAAAAAATATCCAGGTGTTGTGGCAGGTGCTTGTAGTCCTAGCTATTTGGGAGGCTGAGGTAAGACAATTGCTTAAGCCCAAGTCTGAGGTTGCTGTGAGCTGTGACTCCACAGCCCTCTGTCAGGGGCAACACAGTGAGACTGTCTCAAAAAAAAAAAAAAAAAATTAAGACACAAAATTTTGAGTGTGAACATATGTATATTTTTTCCAAAAGAAAAGATATCAGCTTGTCAATGGGATCTGTGACCAAAAAACATTAAGACTCATTACTTAGGCTCGGCGCCTATAGCTCAACTGGCTAAGGCGCCAGCCACATACACCTAAGGTGGC